AGTCATAGATCTTAGAGAAAACTCCAAGGCTGTCACATCCCTAGACAAATGTAATTTCTTAGTATGAGCAAAATATGAATCCTTAAATTTATAGACAAGTATCCTAGTCACCACTCATCAAAGAAGCTTCTTTTTCAGGCCACAGAGATAATTACAGAGTACCACAATTAGTGACACACAGAGATTGTCTGTGAATTGCCCAAGAATAAGTGGCTCATCTGGGATGCAACCTCTACACCTAAGGCTCACAGAACATAGAACAAGGGATGACGAGAACACTAATGCATCTTTCAGTTCTGGTTAGTGAGGCTCCCTCATATAACAGAGGGACAGAGGAATGCAAAAGTCACAAATGGCCAAAACACAGAGAATAAGAGCCTGCAGAGTGGATCTTTGGACAGGACTCCTATGTTAAAATCCACCCATCCAGGGCTCAGGGACCATTATTGAAAAGGGAGCAGAAAAATGTTAAGAACCAGGGAGAGGGTGCATAACCATACAGAAATAGACCTAAAGGCTCCTGGGACTTTTCTCATACAAACCTGCAGCAATGGTGTCAGTATGCACAAGACCCATGCAAACTTAAGCAGACAAAAACCAGCACACACCTGTGGAAATGAACAGTAGTCCCCAATCTTAATTAAAGAATTATTGGCAGCTGATTACTGTGGGTGAAGAAGAAGAGCTGATCTTAAAGGGAGGGACTCCAGACAGACTGACTAGATCCCAGTGGATAAACTTGCACTGAGGGACACCTGAGGACACTAACTTTACATGATAGGTCTTAACACAAATGACAGAATGTATGAACTCCAGTGGGGAGGCTATGGGAGGATGCCAAAGGGGAAGGGATTATAAAGATGATTTCCTGTATGAAATACACAAAAATTCAATTAAAAAAGAAAAACTGATAAAAATGAGGTCAAAGCCAGCCTGGGATGCATGATGAGACCATTATATTATAATGAAATATAATTTTAAATATATAGGTGCTGGAGAGATGGCTCAGCAGTTAAGAACACTGGTTGAGCCGGGCGTGGTGGCGCACGCCTTTAATCCCAGCACTCAGGAGGCAGAGGCAGGCGGATCTCTGTGAGTTCAAGGCCAGCCTGGTCTACATAGTGAGTTCCAGGACAGCTGGGGTTACAGGGAGACCCTGTCTCAAAAAGCCCCCCCCCAAAAAGAACACTGGTGGTTCTTGCAGAAGACCCAGGTACAAATCCCAGCACCCACATGGCAGCTAACAACGGTCTGTAACTCCAGTCCCAGGGGATCCAGCCTCTTCTGACCTCCTCAAGCATTGTACGACATAGGTGCATTTACCTACATGCAGGCAATACATGCATACACATGAAAAAAAAGTTTTAAAAAATGTTTAAATATAAAATAAAATACTAAAGCTGTGCCAGTGGGGTAGCACACTCCTGTAATCCCAGCACTCAGTAGGCAAGGTAGGAGGGTAGTGAGTTTGAGGCCAGCATGAACTGCAGAGTGAATAGGAGCCAGCCTGGACTTCACAGGGAGACTCTGCCTAATTATATTTTTAAAATATAAATAATATATGAAGTCAAATTTAAAAGGTGAAGAGAAGGGCTGGTGAGATGGCTCAGCAGGTAAGAGCACTAGCTGCTCTTGCAGAGGACCCGGATTTGATTCCCAGCACCCACATGGTGGCTAACAATTATCCTTAACTCCAGTTCCAGGGGATCTGATGCCCTCTTCTGACCTATATGGGCATTGCACAACATGGGTGCACTTACATGCATGCAGGCAATACCCTCATGCATATAAAGTAAAAATTAATTTTTTAATTTCGTTTAAAACAAACCAGGCATAGTGGCACAGCCTTTAAATCCATGTACTCAGGATATAGAAGCAGGAGATCTCTGTGAGATCAAGGTCGTCCTGGTCTACATAGCCAGTTCCAGGCCAGCTGGAGCTACAGTGAGACCCTGTCTCAAAAAGACCAGAATAAGCAAACATACAAACAAGGGCCTGGGGAGATGGCTCAGCAGTTATGAGTGCTTGCCGCACCTTCAGAGGACCTGAATTCAGTTCCCAGTGCCTATATTGGTCAGCTCACAACTGCTTGTAATTCCAACTTCAGGGGATCTGGCACCCTCTTCTGGCCTCTGAGGGTACCCATAGATACATGTGTCCATAATTTGTGTGCACACAAAATAATTTTTAAAAATTTTTTAAATATTTTTAAAATAAAGGGAATATTTAAAATGTTGAAATAGAAAGGAAAAGTGGATAGATTGAAGAGATACACTGAAAGTACAATTAAAAGAATTTGTTGAGATACAGAACTAAGGAAGAGATGAAAGTCTAATAAAAAATTCCCAAGTTTCTCTCCTGCTTTGCTGGCTGGGCAAGTAACCATAACCCAGATCAAGAATAAGACTAGAAGAGGGCGAAATCAAGATAGCAGGTGCAGGGCTGGAGAGATGGCTCAGCAGTTAAGAGCACAGGCTGCACTTGGTTCAGTTCCCAGCACCACATGGCAGCTAACAACTGTAACTCTAGTTCCAGGGAATCCCACACCCTCTTCTGGCCTCCATGGGCATTGCATGCACATGTTGCACTTAGATACATGCAAGCAAGACCCTCAAAAAAAAAATTTTTTTTAAAGGAGATACAGTGCCAGGCATGGTGGCACACACCTTTAGTCCCAGCACTTGGGAGGCAGAGATAAGCAGATCTCTGTAAGTTTGAGGCCAGCCTGGTCTACATAGCGAGTTCCAGGCCAGCTGGGGCTATAGGGAAACCCTATCTCAAAAAGACCAAAATTAATTAATTAATTAATTAAAAAAGGAGATACAGATTTTGTGGACCTCAAAACCATGCAACAAAAGTATCTACAGACTGGGGAGTCAGGGATGTAACTCAGTGACAGGTCACTTCCCTAGCAGGTATCAGGGCTATTTTTGATCCCTAGCTCAAAACAAAATGAACAAACAGAAACAGTTGGAGTGTGATGGTCCATGCCAGCACTGGGCAAGGCTGAGGCAGGAAGAGAGCCAGTTCTGGGTCAGTCTGGGCAACACTGAGACTCATTCTCAAACAAAATAGAACAAATACTGAGGAGGTGCCCCTAAAAGGAATTAAGGAAAGAACTCATCAAAATAGGACAGTCTGACCAGGCATGGTTGGCACACACCTTTACTAGCATTCCAGAGGCATAGCGGCAGATCTCTATGAGATCGAGGCCAGTCTGGCCTATATACTGAGTTTTAGACCAGCTGAGACTACAGGGAGACCCCATCTCAAAAAAAAAAAAAAAAAAAAAAAAAAAAAAAAAGAAGAAGAGGAGGAAGAGGAGGAGGAGGAGGAGGAGGAGGAAGGGGAGTGGAGGTGACTCTCTGCCAGTAAAAGTATTGTAATTCAGGGCTGGAGAGATGGCTCAAAGGTTAAGAGCATTAGATATTCTCAAAGAAGACCCAGGTTGGAATCCCAGCACCCACATAGTGACTAACAATCATCTGTAACTCCAGTTCCAGGGGATCTGACACCCTCTTCTGTCCTCAGGCATTGCATGACACGGATGTACTTGCATACATGTACAAAATACATATATACATATAAAATTAAACAAAGCAAAAAAAAGTACTTGTAATGAAAGACTTCAGTTTGATCCCTGAAACCCACATTTAAAAACCCAGATGGAGGCTGGAAAGATGGCTCAGTGGTTAAGAGTGCTTACTGCTCTTAAAGAGGACCCAGGTTCAGTTCCCAGCATCCATTCTGGCCTCTCGGACACCAGTTATGCACATGGTGCACATGCATACATACAGGCAAAAACACTCATTAAGTAAAAATAAATTTTAAGAAAATCTAGTTGTGCCAGGCATGGTGGTGTACGCCTTTGAGGCAGGCAGATCTCTGTGAGTTCAAGGCCAGCCTGGTCTACATAGCGAGTTCCAGGCCAACTGGGGCTACAGGGAAGTCAGGGAGCTAGAGAGATGGCCCAGCAGTTCAGAGCACTGGGTGATCTTGCAGAAGACCTGGGTTTGATTCCCAGCAGTCACATGGCAGCTAATAACCATCTGTAATACCAGTTCTAAGGGATCTGATGCCCTCTTCTTATGTCCATAGGCATTGCATGACACTGGTGCAGTTACATACACGTAGGCAATACACTCATACACATAAAATTTTAAAATTTTAAGTAAAAATAAATGAGGTGAAAAATTAATCTATTTCACCCATATAATAGCATCTGGGGGCAAAGGATGTAGCTCAGTGTGGTAGGGCACGTGCCTAGCATGCCCAAGGCTCTGGGTTCCATCTCCAATACCACATTTTAAGAAGAGGGGGGTAGGGATAGGAGGAGAAAGTAGCAAGATGGCTTAATGGGTAAAGGAGCTTGTTGCCAAGCCTGACAACCAGAGTTTGACCCCTGGAAACTACATGGTAGAAGGTGGAACGAGACAACTGATTCCCACAAGTTGTTCTCTGACTTCCACACATAGCTGTGGCATGTGCATGCACTCACACACAAATAAATAATAAATAAAATTTAAAAATTTTTAAATGCAGGAAAAAAATGTGCCCACTTAATATGTGACTACTGTCAGAACTCTAAGATATATTGTTCTGTAATTTTCAAGATTTTTGACAATGGAAATGTATTAATTTGACACATAATTTTAATTCTGAAAGCAAAACCACATGTTTTGGAAAAGAAAAAAGAAAAAAAAAGAACTGAAAAATAATCTACTTGATTTGGAATTAGTAACCTTTCTGAGACCAACTTAAACAGATTGATAGAGGTAGAATCTGGCATGTAGAACCGAGTGATACAAAAAGTTTTGTTAAAAATGATTTAGGCAGGGGCTGAAGAGAAGGCTCATCCATTAAGAGCACTGGCTGCTCTTGCAGAGGACCCGGGTTCAATTATCAGCTGGCAGCTAACTACTGTGGTAATTCCAGTTCCAAGGGAATTCAATGCCTTCTTCTGACCTCTGCAGGCATTGCATGACATGGGTGGAAAATACACATAAAATAAAAAATATTTTTACAAAAGATTAGACAACCCAGTATACTGGGTGGTACATGCTTGTAATCCCAGGAGGCAGAAGCAGGAGGATTACAAACTGAAAGCCAACTTGGACTACTTAGCAAGTTCCAAGCCTGCCTGGAATATATAGCAAGACCCTGTTTCAAAAGAAGTACAGGGCTCGCCATCCTCTTTCCGCCATCTTGGCGCCGGTGGAGGCCTGCTGGGAACAGGACTTCTAAAAGGCAAATATGTCTGGAAGGCTATGGTGCAAGGTCACTTTTGCTGGCTACAAGCGAGGTCTTTGGAATCAACGAGAGCATACAGCTCTTCTTAAAATTGAAGGTGTTTATGCCTGAGATGAAACTGAATTCTACTTAGGCAAGAGGTGCACTTATGTGTATAAAGCAAAAAACAACACAGTAACTCCTGGTGGCAAATCAAACAAAACCAGAGTAATCTGGGGAAAGGCCACCCGGCCCATGGAAACAGTGGCATGGTTCATGCCAAATTCCGAAGCAATCTTCCTGCAAAGGCCATTGGACACAGAATCCAAGTGATGCTGTACCCCTCACCGATTTAAACTAATGGAACATAAATAAAGAAAAGTGGATTTGTTAAAAAAAAAAAAAAAGAAGTGGTGGAGGAGGGGGAGAAGGAGGTAGAGGAGGTGTTATTTAAACACATTTGAAGGAGTGGAAAGAATAAATGGACACTGAAGCTCAGTAGAGAATGATGGTTACCTAAAGCCCAGGTTCTAAAAGGAAAGGAGGGCATGGATGCAGAGCCCAGGTGCATGTGGTTCATTTACACAACAGTTTAGGTCAGCAGACATTTATTGCAATCTATATGTTAAGTCTCTCCTAGGAGCTCCATTCAGTCTGGGTGGGAAGCCAGCTGAGTAAGAAATTAGTCTTCAGCAGAGGGTGTGGGGCACATCTTGCTTGGACTCACAGCTATTTATGATTGGGAGGTAGCAACTGAAAACTGATGGGTGTCCATGTCTGGCCACTTCTTTGTTCTTTATCAAGAAGGGAACATTTTATTTTTCTAGTGTTGGAGACTGAACCCAGGGGCCACATATGCTAGGAAGTAAGATGAGCTAACCTCCCAGCCTTGTGAAGTCCAGTATTCAAGTTGCTTATTGATTAAGGTAGGAGTTGGGCAAGAAGCTTAAAGAATAGCCATAGAAGGACACAGAAAAGAAGATGAAGGAGAAGGGAATGGAAGAAATGCCAACCAAAAGTACTAGGTGAAAGGGTTAGGGAAAGCCTGACTTGACATAGCCAAGTCTATATCAGCACTCTGGAAGCTAAGGCTGCATACAGAGACCCTGTCTCAAAGGAACAAGAGTTAGGGAGCAGACTGGAAACCATGAGTGTATAACAGTCCTGGTACATAATTTTCTCTGTCTTTTTTGACAGCCCCAGCTGTCCTGAAACTCACTATGTAGACCAGGCTGACCTTGAGCTCACAGATATCTCCCTACCTCTGCCTCCCAAGTGCTTGGATTAAAAGTATATGCCAGCCACCATGCCTGGCTAGTTTTCTCTTTTTCAAAAATGTTTTATTATTTTTATTTCTATGTGTATTGCCTGCATATGTGTAAGTGCAGCCGTATTATGTATTGCCTTTGGAGGTCAGAAGAGGGCATCAGAATCACTGGAACTGGAGTTACAGACAGTGGTTAGCTGGGAATCAAACCCAGGTCCTCTGCAAGAGCAGCCAGTGCTCTTAACCACTGAGCCCCGTGCATAGTTTTCTTGAGCAGCACCCATCTGCCTAGGAACAAGAGTAGAAGACGTTATTGTGTAAGACCTAGATCATGGCTTGTAGACACATAAAGTGGATTGACTAGAGAGTGAGGAGATAAAGGTCTGTTGATAGCTTAAAGAAGCCACCAATGCTGGACAGATAAGCCTAGGAAGGTGCAGTAAATTGCTCAAGAGAGATCTTTACAAGCTCAAAGAACAGATGATTCAGAAATAACTGAAATGAGTAAGCAGGAAACTCCGGGCACTCTGGTGGGAATGGTGCTGGAGTTTCACATTTTAGAGCTGGGTGGCAATGGGTGTGTGATGTGGAGGAAAGGTTAGAGTCATTGCAGTGGGAAGTTATTAAGAGACTTCTTACCTAAAGCTGTAAAGGTAAGGGCTCGTATATCTGAAATCTGATCATCTGTTTTGGGCGGAAAAAATGGCAGATTTGGTTTTGCTTTTTTTATTTTATTTGAGACAGGGTCACCAGGCTTGGAACTTGCTATATAGACCAGGCTGGCTTTTTAAGACAGGGTCTCATGTAGTCCAGGCCAGCCTTGAATTCATTATGTAGCCAAGGATGATCTTGACCTTCTGATCCTCCAGCCTCCACCTCCCAGGTGCTGGGGTTACAGGTGCGAGCCTACTCATCCAGTTTTATGTGCTACTGGAGGCATGTTTGCACCCCTCTAACTGTGCTACATCCTCAGCCCAAATTATTTTTTGTAAAAGGAAAATTAAAGTATCTGACTAGGGAAGATGAAGGGACTTGGAGAGTTAGATCAGTGAACTATCTAAATGAATCCAGAATTGTGCTGGCCTGGGGCAGAGCCAATGAAATGTAGCATTTGCTGAGGGTCCAAAGCTTAGAGAGATGGGAACACATTTTGCAGTGACTTAGCCTGAGGTTTCCCAAATTTGAATACATGTTCTGCAGTACTGCTCTCAAGAAGAAATGGAAAGAGGAGAAACTGAGGAGATTAACAGGCCTGGGGGAAAGGCCCCTAGCCACAGGTGGAGCCAAGCACTGGGACAAATGTGAGCTGCACCTGTGTGAGATGCCAGTGACCTTGACCCCACCCACACCAAACATCTAGACTCCCTGCAGTTAACAGGTTTTGCCATTCATACCTAACATGAAGCATTGGCTTAGAACCTCCTATATATTTAAGAATAAGCTCTCAAGCTGGGTGCGGTGGTATGTGACTATAAACTCAGCTACTCCAAGGTTGAGGTGGAAGGATCCTTTGAGGCTAACCTGAACATAGAGAAACCCTGCCTTAGGGAAAAGGAAGAGAAATCATACAAGTTGCTTTAATACTAGTCCAGGAGCTGCTTGGAGCTGGGCTTCCTCAGCTGCCTCTCATGCTGAGTTTAAGTCCCACCTCTGAAAGGATATTATAGGGGAACAAAGAAAACATGGTCATAGTTTGAAAAGAATAATTGCAAAGAATATATGAGCCAAAACAAATAGAACCTTTGTTCTCTCATTCAACAAACACTAGATTTTTAATATCAAACGAAAAATTATTTTGTGTGGCTTTGAAAGTCCTTACAGTTAGGGCTGGAGAGATGGCCCAGTGGTTAAGAACACTGACTGTTCTTGCAGAAGACCCAGGTTTGAATCCCAGCACCCACATGGCAGCTAACAATTGTCCGTAACTCCAGTCCCAGGGGATCCAACAACCTCTTCTGTCTTCCGTGGGCATTGCACGATACAGGTGCACTTACCTACATGCAGGCAATACACACATACACATAAAATAAAAATATTTTTTTTAAAAAAGAAAGTCCTTACAGTTGGAGGTTTCTCTACCCTTAGGTTTTGTGTCTATTCCCATACTCAAATGCGATCCTAGACCAACTGCTTTGAATGACTTTTTGTTTTGTTTTCTTGGTGGCTTTTGGTTTTTGAGACAGGGTCTCATGTAGCCCAGGCTAGCTTCAATTCTCTATGCAGCTAAAGATAACCTTGAACTTCTGATTGTAAGAATAGGGGTCAGCACCTCTAGGCTAAATCTTACATCCTCAATCAAGCCACAGCTTCTTGTAGCTCTCTCTGGACAGTTAGTAAGCAGTCTGTTTTGTGACTTGACTGCTCTCCATTTGTGGTACCTGCTCCTCTGTGCTTCTTGTCACATATACCACGCTAACCTAAATCACATGATGTGAAACTTCCTGCCAACCGTAAAAGGTTATTAAAAAGTCAAAACTTTCCATTATTCTGGGGATTTTGGTCTGGAAGATGCTTTGTAAGTTGATCTCTAAAGAGACTCCCCTGGCCTCCCCATCCCCCACTCTCATGATGGCTCTCTCTCCTCTCTCTCATTTTCACTTTTTTCTCTTTTTGAGACAGACTCTCTGTATTACTTTTCTGTTGCTGTGATAAAACACCATGACCAAGGCCACTTGTAGAAGGAAAAGTTTATTGGATTTACGGTTCCAGGGAAGAGTCCATCAAGGTGGGCAGGCATGGCAGGAGACAGCTGAAGTGGAAAGCTCAGCACTCACATCTTCAAACACTGCAGAAAGCAGAGACACTGGAGATGGGACACAGCTATGACCTCTCAAAGCCCACTCCCACTAACATGCTTCCTCTGGTAAGACTGTACCACTTGAACCTCTGAAAACAGCGCCACCAGCTGACCAAATGTTCAATTATTTGAGTCTCAGTCAAACCACTACAGTCACTATGTAGCTCTGGCTGTCCTGGAGCTTGCTATGTAGAACAGACTGGCCGCTTCTTTTATCGGGAAACTGATCTTCCTACCTCTGACTCCCAAAATGCTGGATTACAGGTGGTATGCCTTATACCACCACACTGGGCTCTTTCAGTGAGTTTTTTTCCTGTTTGCTGTACTAGGGATTGAACCTGGGGCCTTACAACATGCTGCACAAGTGCTCTCCCCTGAGCCACATCTCCAGCCCTCTTTTAATTACTTATGGCCTCTACTGTCTCTTCCCCTCCCCATGAAAGGATCAGTGTCCTTTGCTACATCTTTCCTCAAGGAGACAGGTCACTTAGGATTGTTCTGGGGAAGGTGGTAGGTCTCCCCACTGTCTGGCTCCACTATACCTTAAAGCTTCTGAAACTGACCACCACAGAATTCACTTTGTGATTAGTATCAATGGTGACCCAGTACAGTTCCAGAACAAAGGGACTAGTGTTCCTTAAAGTTGTGCAAAGTGGATGGCTTTCATCCTGTTTTCAGTTACTGTAATCAGTCAAATCTCAAAGTTTACTTTCTTGAACAAATTATTTCAAGTGTTGTTTTTCCATACAGGGTCTCCCTGTAACCACAGCTGGCCTGCACTCACTATGTGGATGAGTGCTGGGATTAAAGGCATGTACCACTACACCCAGCTTAGTGTTCTTTCTATATCACTACCACTCATTGGCTTTTTCTAGAGACTTCTCTCTTGCCCTTAAATCCCAAATTCAAACCTTAATCTCAAGTATGTCCCATTGTACATAGCTGTCTCCAGGCTCTGCCTCCCTGACTTGGAGAATCACACTAGCTCCTGACAGGCCTCTTCTTGCACTAGAATAGTTTCTTTTTTATTTTTTTTTATTTAAAATATTTTATTTATTTTTATTTTATGTGTATGAGTGTATTGCCTGCATGTATGTGAGTGCACCCATGTTGTACAATGCTGCAGAGGTCAGAAGAGGGTTTCAGATTCCCCTGGAACTGGAGTTAAGGACAGTTCGTAGCTGTCATGTGGGTGCTGGGAATCAAACCTGGGTCCTCTGCAAGAACAGTTAGTGCTTTTAACTGCTGAGCCATCGCTCCAGCCCCAGAATAGTTTCTTTTCTATCCTCCAGCTAGAGCCAGCTTTTTTTTGTTGTTGTTGTTTTGAGACAGGGTCTCCCTGTAGCCCCAGCTGTCCCGGAACTCACTATGTAGACCAGGCTGGCCTTGAACTCAGAGATCTGCCTGCCTCTGCAAGAGTGAGCGTTTTTATTTTTTTTAATATTTTATATGCAGGAATGTATTGCCTGCATGTGTGTAAGTGCACCACTGTCATGCAGTGTCTGTTGAGGTCAGAAGAGGGTGTTGGATCCCCTGGAAAGTGGAGTTACAGTTAGCTGCCATGTGGGTCCTTGGAATTGAACCTCCTCTGCAAGAGCAGCCAGTGCTCTTAACCACTGAGCCATATCTCCAGCCCCAGAGTGAGCTTTTTTTTTTTTTGGCTTTTCGAGACAGAGTCTCCCTGTAGTCGTAGCTGGCCTGGATTCGCCATGGAGACCAGGCCAGTCTCGAACTCAGAAATCTGCTTGCCTCTGCCTCCCAAGTGCTGGGACTAAAGGTGTGCTCCATGCCACCACGCCTAGCCAGAGTGAACTTTTTTTTTTTTTTTTTTTTTTTGAGACAGGGTCTCCCTTGTAGCCCCAGCTGTCCTGGAGTCACTATGTAGACCAGGCTGGCCTTGAACTCATAGAGATCTGCCTGCCTCTGCCTCCCAAGTGCTGGGACTACAGGCGTGTGCCACCATGCCCGGCTCAGAGTGAGCTTTTTAAACCCTGCACCAGATCACAATGTTCCCCTGGTCAAAACCTTCCTATGGATTCCTACTCAATAAAATCTGGTTAAACCAAATTCCTGACCTCAGGCTGTAGATGG